AAGGACGGGCCTCTCCCTGTTCTCTGCACTTGCAGGTGGTTTACCCTCGGACCCACTATCCTGAAGTAAGGCCTCGAGGGAGTGAGAAAATGCTCCGGAAAAGGGCAGATTTGCAACTTATTTTATACATTAGAATCAGAGGGGGAGGCGTCGGGAAGGTACCTGGAACCACTGGTGGTAGATTGGGGGGGGGGCACAGGGGAAAGCAAAGCGAGGAAATCTCTAGAACTGGAGAAAAAGCAAAATAGAGAGGCCCTGGCCGGGCAGCTCAGTTGGTTAGAGCGGCGTCCTGACCCCGCCAGGGCTGCAGGTTTAATCCCTGGTCAACAGGTTGAGGTTCCTCTCTCCCTCTCCCTCTCTCTAAAATAAAGATTTAAAAAAGCAAAGTGGAGAGACACGTGCTTCCTTTACATTGGTGGGTACAGGCTAGTTAATCAACACTTGCCGCAGGTGGAGATGGTATCGGGGACGGGATAGCAGGAGGGTGCTGTGGCCTCTGCTCCCGAGGGAGGCTGCGCCCTGAGGGGTCCAGAAAGGAGATGCTCTGACATTTCAGAGGCATGTCATCCTCGCTGAGGAAGAACAGTGGACAGGGCTCTCTCCGGGCAAAGACGGACCTTTGCTAAGGAAGCCACAGGCCTGGGATGGGACTGCCCACAGGGCCTCGCTGTCAGACACGTGTGATCAGATCGTCCGTCCTGTGTGAGGACCTCTGGTCACTGAGCTTGTCAGGCCTGCCAGTGGCCGCTGAGCCTGTCCGGTTGACTGCGTGGCCCCTTTTCACTCCACCTCAAATATTGATCGGTCAGATATTGACGAAAAGCGGGAAGGAGTTAGAAGATCTGGATCTCCAATGACAAAGAGAGAAGGCACACAGGGCCCTTTACGACAGTTTGTCATTCCTGCCTTGTGCCACTTCCCTACACAAAGCCCAGGGCCACCCTGGTACTCCGCAGTTCCCGTGGGCCACAGGGTCCCGGAGAGCAGGGATGCCCCTGGGCCAAGGCTGAGGGAATGTCCCCTAGGTGAGCGAACCAGAAGCCACTCCGGACCCACTGGAAGCCCCTGCCCAGGCCTCCTGCTCCCTCGCCACCCCCTGACTGGGGCCTGTTTCCTCATGCCTGAGAAGAGGGGTAACCGGCCCAGGACACTGCCCCCCCACCGCGCCTCAGGGCCGCCACTCTGCTCAGAGCCTCCCAGAGCTCGCCACCAGGGTTCCAGCTGCTCCTCTTGGGGCCGCAGCCCCGCTGTGCCACAAGGCCTGTGGGAACGCCGCAGTCAGCAGTCACACCTCAGGGGTGACCACGCCTCCCGCTCCCAGGAGCCCATGTCCCCCTTCCTGATTCTGAGCCTTCACACGGGCCATTCCTTTTGCTTGGAAGGTTCCCCCTACTGTTCATCTGGCCACTTCCTGCTCAGAACTTGGGGTCACTTACCTGACCCCAAGGCGGCGCCCTGGACTTCCCTCTGCACTCACCCGTCACGCCCACTCATCCGGCCTCCGTCCACCCTGCTACTCTTTCCACGCCACGAGAGCAAGGACCACGTCTATCCAGCTCAGCACTGTACCCAGGTGCTGAGCACGGGGCCTGCATGGAGGAGGTGGCCCGTGAATATTGAACCATTGAAAACAGTGGCTACAACACCGCACACACTTCCCCCTGGCTGGCACAGCCCCAGAGAGTCTGGCCCCACCTCCCTTCCCAAGGCAGACGCCTGGGCTACTCACATACTCTATTTTGTGGTCAATCCTCAACCGAGGATATTTTTTCCACTGATTTTTAGGGAGAGAGTGGAAGGGGGGAGGGAGTGGGAGAGGGAAAGAAGCATCTTGAGAGAGACACATCAACTGGCGCCTCCTGCACGTCCCGACCAGGCCGGGGATCAAACCTGCAACCCAGCCCTGCCCCGTCTGGCTCAGTGGTTAGAGAGTCAGCCCTTGGACTGAAGGGTCTCGGGTTCGATTCTGGCCAAGGGCACGTACCTCGTTTGCAGGCTCCATCCCGGGCCCTGCTTGGAGTGTATGCAGGAGGCAACCCATCAGTGTGTGTCTCTCACATCAGTGTTTCTCTCTCTCTCTCTCCCTTCCACTCTCTGTAAAAAACAAAACACTGCGCCTGGCCAGGCGTGGCTCAGTGGTTGAGCATCGACCTAGGATCCAGGCGATCAGGGTTTGATTCCCGGTCGGGGCACATGCCCAGGTTGTGGGCTGGATCAATGACTCTCTCATCATTGATGTTTCTCTCTCTCTCCCTCTCCTTTCCTCTCTCTGAAATCAATAAAGACATATATTTTTTTTAAATCTATTAAAATGTCGTCGAATACTGTTTAAGAAAAAACAACACAAAAACACTGCAACCCAGGTATGCGCCCTTTACTGGGAATCGAACCCAAGATCCTTCGGTGGGTGTGTGGGCCGACGCTCTAACCACTGAGCTTGCTGGCCAGGGCCTACTCACAGTTTTCTAAATGCAGCCTCTGCCTCCACACCTGCACCTCCAGACGTCTGCTCCTGCCATTCACCTCCTCCAGGATAGACGCCCGGGTGCAGGTGCGGAGCAGGAGCAGGGCTCTTCCCTGCCCGCCCCGCCCACTCCGCTCATTGCCTCTCAGAGTGCAGAGGCCCCACGGTGCACCAGCTGTCCCGCTGCTCGGATGACGTTGGCTTTCTCAGGGGCACAGAGTCTGGCCCTGCGTGCACGTGGGACCTGCTGCTGGGTTCATGGGAAGTCAGCGCCCTTGAGGATATCCCTGGACGGTCACATCACCTTCCCTCGATCTCATGCTGAGAAGATGCCTCCTGAGGCCGGGTCCCCACAGCAGTAGCAGCAGGGGTGACGTTTGCACAGCTGGGGGAGGAGGAAGTTTTACCTCCTGCCATTTCCTGAGGGGATGGGCTCCAGTCGCAGGCCCTGATATTCATCACTCAGTAAATACCCGATGTTTATTTGAGCAGGACATTGCCGGGCGCCACAGAAGCCCAGACACCGCTGTGCACAGCGTCCGGTCACAGAGCCGCTGTCCTGCTAGAGAGCCACGGTACATCAACAGGGCGCAGAGGGACCTGCTGGAGGTGCAGGTGGGGCTCCATTTTCCCCGGTGCCCGGTCGCCCTTGGAAGGATGAAACGTGATAAATAGGCTTTTTTGTTTCAAAAGTCTGGGTCTCTCAGAGCAACAAATTCTGTTGCTCAGGCTGGGAGGGGAATGGGCCATTTCTTTCCCAAAGGAATGGCAGGAAGCTCCCAGGCAGGAGGGGGGCTCTGTAGACAGTAAACAGGCACCAAAAACAGCTCCGTGGGGTGGAGAACTTGATCTTGAGCATTTTGGGGGGCCCATTCTTTCTTATTCCACATTTTCCCCGCTCATTTCTTTTCATTCCGCTTTCTGTTGCGTAATTTAGGTAAGAAGTGCATCCTTCCCCGGAGTGACTAAGGGCTCTGGCTCTGGTTTGCCTCACCGGGTTCCCAGACAAGGGACTTGCAATACTAAAAAACAGGAAGGTCACGACAAACCGGACCCAGCCTGTCACCTGAGCCGCCCTCAGAGCCGGGCGGTGTTAGTAACATTGACTCCAACATGTAGCACATGAATATACAATGTCTCGCCGCTGAGAACCTGCGATGGGGCAGCTGCAGAGTAACTCTGGGCTACTGTTTCCGTGTTCATACTCACATCAGGGCGGATGTTTTCCATAAATGCTCACTGGATTGCTGGCCTGGACGGGTATTGAATTCCAGCCTTGAAACGGTTTCCTAACGTTCTGGCTGGAGGACCCCGGGGCACTCCTTCCTGCACGTGGCCGGAGGCAGAGCGGCGGAATGGGCCTATACCCTGTCACACAGGCCGAGTCGGCTGGCTGCACACGTGGCCGTCCCAGTAACGTCCGCCGAAACTCCTGACCTCTGAGCACATTTCCTAGA